TTGCTCCTCGACACCGAGGGATACCATGAGGTGTTTGGAGGCGGGCGACTGGCGGAAATCCGCCTTATTTTCTGAATTCTCGACGAGTATTTTTGATTTCCTGAGCTGCAGGTTTCTTTTCGTTCTAGAAAGTTCTGGAACGAAAAATTTGGACTTCCGCAACTCGGATTGGCCATGTCTCACTGTTCCTACTTCTTTAAGGAAGAAGCTTGGGCTACTATCACAAACGCCTGGTCAAGGGTTTGAATCCTGGATCGATATCCGCCTGGGCCAACCAATCCTTAATCCCTTCGGGGACGATTATTCGGTACCAGACACATCTAGAAAGATAAGAGCGCCTTTCATATTGGCAGGCCTTCGCAATTTATTGTATAGGCCACATACGCATTCAGAACGTCATCTGCGATTCTGAATGAGGTCGAATGCGTGGCGCATCCTTCAGACGTGATTAATTGACGTCCAGAGACTTAATTGGATGCTGTAAAATCGTCTCCGAAAGGCCATGTAGATTTAGATTTAGTGATAATCCAATGATTCTTCATGAGCAAGATAGGCCAGGCTCAATTTGGTCCCCTGAGAAGGGAGCAACTTCCTTTACCTTTTTGGTCCTTATGGATTTTCATGCAGCACAATCTTGTGACAGCGTTCCGTTTTTATTATTCTCGCTATAACAGAACTGCAATTTGCTCATGCTGCTGCTGCCGGAATGCCACACACACACAGACACACAATGAGAATGATTCCGCTGTAATATCCGAGGTGTGAAAGCCAAAGCATTCTGTCATAACTCAATGGTCAATAATCATTTGTGGACAGCTCCGACACCTTTGCTCCATGGCAGCGTAATGAGCGTAGTTTAACGTTTGAAACCTCTGAAAAAATGAAAATGAACCGACAGTCATGGGGGCATTGAGCCAATGATAGGACGATTCAAGTTTCCCTGGATACACCTGGGTTCGATTTTACGAATCTAATTGGGCTCCATGCATACCCACATACCTCACCATGTCTGAGACTCCTTCTACTCTCTTTTGGAAGTCTATTTTGAGTTGTAGGTGCACTGGGGAGGTTGGAGAACATGCTTGGGCTAAGGCGCTCTGCTTACGGAACTTGGATTCGATCTTGAGGGCCTACAGCACCTCCAGCTCTGAAGTACCTCTTCCTAGGGCTAGACCGTTAACATAAGACAGAGAAGCGCTAGTGAGACCATAATGCTACAGTAGCCGGTTATAGAGAAAATGTTCTTCACAGTAACCCGGTCAAGGGAACTATTCAACAAGGCCCAAGGACATAGGACATGACCCCTTGGAGAAGACCTTTCCCGCCTTGTCTTAGAGGCAGTCAACTACCCCTTTTCACAATTAGTAAGAAGTAATTGAAAGCAAAAAACTAAATTGTAGTAGGCCGCAAAAATACAAGCAGATTCCGAACCGTGTGGGTAATTTCTGGAGGTAAACGACTCTTTGCGTTTACCTATTATCTTTTCCGTGAACGAAATGAACGCGCCTGAGCCTATGTCAAGCATTTAATTAAGCCAACCTTTTTCTATTCATTATTTGATTTTCGTGTCTAGGCTATTCGAGAAAGCAGCATCCCATTAATTTCCACAGGAAATCTAGCATATACTCAAAAATTTTTAGAAAATTATGTCAACAAATCGCACTCAACATCGGAACTTCATGTGATTGGATAAACAATTTTGATGGGACTTTAAAAAATTGTTACCAGACAAAGTACAGGGCCGAGATATAAAAAAAGTTCCTACGATTTGATTTTCATGAGGGATCGTTGAACACCTTGATGAATGAGCTTTAACCTGAATAAAATGTTCGTGTAAAATTCTGAATGACAATTTTATTGTCCTGTGTAGTCTACACCGCTCCGAAAGTACCTTTTCGTAGCGTCACTGACTGACAGTAGTTAAGACTTGCGCATACCTCTTCCTCTGTCCAGGCACTATGAAAGCTTTCAAAGATGAGAACTGGAATTTTATTGACCCCCACAAAGTAAAACATTTGCGGTGGTTTAGTGCATGGTCATTTACCTTTCTTACCGACTGCAGTTCGAACCAGTAATCCACTAATGATAAAAAAAAGCCAGGTCAGAAAGGTGGTTATTGAGAAACCAAAGGAGTAATTGTAGTTACAATGATTGGAAAGGGTAGCCATCAGAGTATTTTCACCGAACCCCTGCCCTTTCAATCTGACATCTCTAAAGCCGTGTCAAATTTTCTCAGACTTGACCTCAGGAGTGATTTGTATTTTTTCTTCCCCTCTATTTATTTCAGCTCTGACTGATTAATCTACGAATTTTTCTCTGATATTGACAAGGTGATGGGCCGGAGGTGGTACAGGGGCAATAGATGTGTTATCATACATGCATGGTCACTGGCGAATCCCGGATCGATATCCACGCAGACCAATCAAGCCTTCCATCTCTCCTAGGTCGGCGAAACCTTACCAGCAGGTCTGGGAGGATAAAAGCACTGACTTGTACATTGGCTGGCCATCGCAAGTCATTGTGTGGAATAAATGCACATTTATTAGGCCACTAGGATTCTGGATAAAAGTCGAATGCAGACGCGCATCCTTCAGATGGGATTGGTCGGCGGCGTCCGACGTCTTTATTTTTTCCTGTATGAAAAAATGTAAAGGTTAGGGATTTAATCACTATTCAGAGAGGGAGCAGAGGAGGAATGATTGATGGAGGTTATTTCCCCTATACGGCCCACTTCGGCACTCACGGTACCAATTGAGCGAGTGGAAATAACTCACTTTTTGTTTGCTTCAGTCAATTACCGTGTTACCTTTTTGTCGTATTCGAATATATCTGTCATAAAATTACCAAAGAACTACTTCTTTCTCGAATTTGCAGTAACCCGGTGAACAAGACTACTAAGAAGTATTTTTTATAACAGTGTACTTGCCGCTATGAGGCATTTACGACAATGAAGTTAAGGAGCCCTGACTTTGCCATTGTGAATGGCCATGCCTAGTGCTCGACGGAAGTCAGGGACTCCCGTTCACTTTAAATTTGTTCTCGGAAAAAATGATGATCCTTACTCAGCTGTAGCAGTGAATCCAAGTGTCAGGGACTGAGTGACAGATGAACACGGTCATCAGTCGCAATCAGTCACCTCTGTGAAGTGCACATCAACCTGGAACACGTGTTTCTTTCTAACTACATGGTTGATAGGGTCAGTTTAAGGTTATCTTGTGTAAAAGTAGTAACTGCCATGAGATAGGCTGTTCATAGCCTGCTAGGGATCGGAAGGATGAAAGAAAGATTGATTACTGCTGTTCATAGCGTTCTGTGGCATCGCGCTCAGTTCTCCAGAGGATTCCTTAGAATAAACTCATGGCAGTTATGGCATAGAAAGGGATGAGCATCAGAGAAGCAAAAGGCTGAACAATGAAAGAAACTCACTGTCCTGCTGTAAGTGCCATTAGTTTTAGTTTAAGAGCGCCCTAAGCCTTCAGCTTCCTACGGCAGTCCTTAATAGCTCCCCGAGAAACTTCACTGTCGGCACTGTATCAAAAAAGCAGTTTCAGAAGAACAGCTGGACTGAGCGCTGCCGATATTTACTATCTAGTTGTCGCCTAGCTAGCGTTTAGTTGACTTGATTTCCCTTAGAGACTTTTGTATAAAGGCACGTTTTCTGGAAGCGAAGGCAGTTTTACTAATAGTTCAGATAAATGGATCCAGAAATCCTTACATTGGCCCTATCTCGAGACCTGTGCGACAGTACCTCTATTCCCACGTCTCTCCTGTTCTCAGCACCCTCCGCCCTCTTCTCAGAGGCGTTTCTCAGAGTTTTCTTTGACTATTCTACATGTACATTGGCTTGTGACAAAAGATCATGGACCTGAATGCTCAAGCTGGTGCTTCTTCCCACCCATCTGCCGAAAATGTCCAAGAAAAGCTTCCCAACTCTGATGAATTCTCAAAGATGTCCGTAACCTACCGGTGGATTGGTGTGATCATACTTTGGAGTGATTCGGAACGTTACGAAAGGTCAATGTGGTTAAGCTGATTTATTGGTGATTTCAATCGAGTTGTTCCGTTCTAATCGTCTCTACACAATCACGAGATTTCTTCGATGAAAGCTCAGCTTGTGACAGATTAAGTTGTTCTTCGAAAGATTTCCGACAAATAATATTACTAGGGACCTGATTTATAGCCGAAACACATGTTATTTCTTACTGTACTTACCCTTCGGACGACTTTACTTACCCATTTCATTACCTAGACCTGTAAGGTCCCAGAATCTATAGTTCGTTGAACCCATACAGAAAGGCAGCGGCAGAGAATATGTTAGCGTAGGGGAAGGATAAAAATAAAAACAGTAAAAAGCCTTCCTATAACGATCGTGATCAGGATCTGGCCCACACCTGTTACCTCCAGGTGATATTTTATGACGGAGATCAACTACCAACGAAGCCATCAACCCTTACCCATCAACCTTCTTTGCCAACATTTTCGGCCCACCTTTTCAACAATAAGCTCTGCTGGACTACACAGAGGATCAATAGGATTTGAAGGAGGCAATGGAAAAAGAGCGCAGTTATAGCACAAATGCTCTGGGGATCAAGTCTCGAAATAACTCTCTTCTAGGCCAACTGAAGCTGAACTTTCTGACTTGGTGAAACGCTACAAAGCTTCAAAGCTTGTCCAAATTGGCAAATTATTCTCTTTTACATTGGTTAGCTCAAGAATTCACTGTACGCACCTTTAAACGCCATTGCGATATAAAAACTATGCATGGCGCATTCTGAAATAGTGCTCAGGAAGTATAGGTCGGGGCCTGAACATCCTACAAAGCCGCCTGTTTCATACCAGACCCACTGTACTTATAGTAGGTCGTCTTGTATTAAAATCCGAAATTAAAGGTTTTTGGTACTGAAATCTTTCGAGCAGCCTCGTTCGTAGGAAGCGCCCTGCCTTTAACCTCCGTTCAAAATCGATGTGGTTTGAATGCGTCTCTGACCTACACAATAATTCGCAGTGGACTGCAGGTGCTCTATTCGAAGTTTTTTCTTCCAGGCGGGTCCTGTATCAATTAACCAATCCGGTGGGATGAAAGGCTTGGCTGGTTCAATCCTGGCCTGGTTACCTTTTATCTATGGCGTACGATATGGTATTGGTTGACGCTCATAGCGAAATTTTCAAGTCAATAGCTGATGATAAATTATTATACCAAATAAAATTTTTATATTCAAAAAACAGCGTTTAACTTTGAATATTATGCAATTCTAAGAGTTATGATGTGATTTTTTGTTCGCCTGTAACTTGTCATACTTCAGAAAGCTGAGCAGAAGGAGAAGGAGAAGCGACAACGCGAACGCCTCAGAAGTCTTGAACTGCAGCGTGACAAACTACACAAAGCCGCATGGTCAGTTCTATTGTGATTTGGTTACGTTAGATTTGATCCATGCCCGAACGAAACAACATGGCTGACCAACTTTTTCTTTTCCTTCAAACGGAAGAATCCTGACGGAGTTTGCAAATCTTTTTATCACTGGAAATGTAGAGTGTGCAGCAAAAGACGCATCGTTCCTTTTGGGGCCACTTCTTTTGAGGCCTAATCTTTCTGGGTTCTCTTAAAAGTACAAAATGAATAGGGCATTGCCACCATAACGGCTCAAGAACGCGTTTCTCTTCTTGCAAAAAAAAAGGAAAAACGTCAGCTTTTCATCTTATGCGGTAGGGGTATGTGAAGAATGGGGATTGGTGTGCCCTTGGGCGAAAGTGCACAGGGCATTGCGGTGTCAATGTGGCCCTCATCAAAACTCTGAGAAGTCGCCCTGGAATGAGGGACGCAGACAGGAGGGGTCTGAAGCAAAATGGCCAAGCTTTACCCTATTTCTTGTCCCTCATCTTTTCTTTTTTGTGGTAACAACCCGGTGTAACCTGGCGATAGTGAATTTTCATTGGAAAAACCTTTTTGGGTACGGAACTCTAAGCTAAGTTAGAAGCCCACCCACGCTTCATGTGATTTCCTCCCGAAAACTGTGCAGGCGTTCAGAACAGAGTTTCTTTTTTTGCTAGCTATTGAATGGGGCGCTATTTTATGAACGACCACACTCGCCGTCAATAATCCTCAAGGGAATGCAAAAATTTTGGCCGACACACCAGAATTGATAAGACACAACCCTCAGCTCCGAATGTGGGAGGAAGGCACTAGATGGGGCTGCTTGTTGTCTCCTATCACCCTTCAACTTCGTCAGTGAAAATGGGAACATCAACCATATGAAAGAGCCCCTCATGACTTCGATTACTCCGTCGGAGCAGCTGAACTAGGGCGTTTTCCGACACTTTCAATGGGGTGAAATCGAGATAAAAGTGCCAAAGTGATGTATGGGAAGGGAACATAGGAGTACTGCCCTCAGACATGGGCCCGGGTATTGCAAAACTTTTCAAATCAACTGATTTTACTGCATTTCCATAAAGCTTCACTGCAATTAATGGGTGAATGAGGGTTTTTATGGTATGGGATGAAGGTCTGTAAACCTATGAAATACATATTTCCTAATCGACCTAGCCGTTATCGACCTCCACCACCATCCATCACCTTCCCAAAAGGTAGAAGTTTTTAAAGCCGTCAATGCATAAGACCTCTTTCTAGCTACCAGCTGTGGTGGTTGATCTTCTTGTAAGGTTTCCTTCAGAAGCATGTTCCTTTCACGGGACTTATAAAACACCCAAATCCCCACTGACCCCGTAAATCGTAAGACAGAACTCCCCAATACGATGAAATTGAATCTCAGTGAAATCTAAAAGTGCTGGTTTTGACAAGATGTCGCTCAGAAACAGCTGGCGATTTGCCATGCTTTCACAAAAAACCCCATAGAGCTGTCGACGAATGACGCCGTTCAATCTCAATAGGCAGATCTGTTGGGAACATCCTGGTGTTTTTCCAATCGTCTCAACATGAGGTGCCATTAACTGATAGTTGACGCTTTCTGAAGAAAGTAATGGCCTGTTATGTTTTTGAAAACAAACATATGAGGCTGCAATGCTAAAAAGAGACCACGATCACACCCACACCATTTCTATTTTTAGTTTCCCCTGGCCTGGACCCAAGTATGCAAGCTCTTTGAGGGCGACTCATTCCCCTCAGACTTGTTTTGGTAAGCAAATGCTCCATCGCGAACTTGCTTTCACCCCTTCAAGGCCCAAATAAGGGCAATTTCCTTTAAATTCTACGAAAATTTGCGAAATGGGAAACAATGCAGTGAATGGTTATAACCTTACAAGAACCAGACAAAGATCTTCGATATCCAATCGGTTTCCAAAGAGATGATCCTGAGCTCCTGACACGAATACCTGTTGTCTGGCGACAGGCGTAAAATCAGTCAAACTTCTAGAAACTCCCAGCGTTACGTGGCTATTTCGTGATAGAGGGATATGATATACGGCTACCTCCTACCACCCATGCCGCCTGAGTTTTGTAACTCAGTAGAAACTGATTTATAGCAACCGATTCTCACCTTCTTTTTGGGCAGTCACCACTATTCCCCCGAAACCAATTCTCGAAAACTCATGCTTTCCATTTTTCACTTCCGATCACCACTTTGAATAAGTTATTGTCGACCACCATGGCCAGTCGTACAGAATGCCTTTTTTCTTGTTCGCCCCCGGAATAAAGTCATTATAACCATGTTATAAGTGCTGTAGACTTTAACTTAGTTATGATGGCTCATGGAAACTTCTTTCACCTTCAGGGAATTCCACACTAATTACTACCATAATTATTTTTTCCAAATTCAGACTAATTAGATGAAATGGCAGTGCCCTTTTCGAGTAATCCTAGTAAAACCGAATGGTAATGAACTTAGACTTAAACGGGAGGAGAGAGATGTGGGGAGTGACTCACTAGGGCGATCCTCATTACTTTACTATTTTCGGTATTCGACCATGTTCTACGGTCGTTGGCACGGAGGAAATGTGATTGCTAAGACGTTGTTTCCGTTCTGAGAACAATCAAGGCGACACTTCTGATTCCGACGACGACCACGTTGCGGTTGGGAAAGCAGGTCAACACTGGGAATCCTACAGCTAGCTAACTGGGAGTGGGATCATTGTGATTGCCCCGTAAATCAGCTTCCAATTAGCATAATTGATAGGTAGACAATTCTTTCAATCAATCGGATCAACTGCGACCAACCGCTTGCGATCTGACCCTTGAACTCTGTGGTTTTCAGTCGAGAGAGCAGGTGTTCTTCAATGGCCCGAGTTGATTCATAACGGAGTCATTCCAAGCTCACTTCCAACTCCGGAGTAAATGGGTTGGATATGATTCAAACTGATAGCATACAGGTCGCATTCTGAACCTCCTTCGAGTTTCCTGCCTCGTTAGATGCTGGGGACCTTATTTTCTTCTTTCCAGGGGGGAGGAAATAGGCAATTCCTTAGAAATGAATAAATGTTACCCATTACTGCAATGCTTTTCAATTCATTTGGGCGTTTCAGCAGAGAAAAAAATGCGTCGCACAGCCGCCATCAGCTCCACGGTCATCTATTATTTTCGAAACTCCAACAGACTTTAGTTCCCTCCCCCCTCCCTCAAAGTGCGCTCGAAATTTTTTTATAAAAACTAGCTCTTCTGCTGGAATGCACTTATAGCCGTTTCAAACAAAGACAATTGTAATGCTATGGGTACGAAAACATTTGTAGGCGCAGTTCGCTATAATTTTGATTTAATTAAGTAATAGAAGTCATGGTGCAGAATAGCACAGAATAAAGACCGAAAACTGAGTAATCCATGATTGCGAATAATGATTTTATTAGATGTAGGACTTCAAAGAAGGAGTTTGTACGAGATCGCTGTCTCTAACCGTCTGGTGTCTCCCACAGTAGTGAACTATTCGTCGCGTCCTAGCGCTTCCTGTGAATAGGGCAGTCTCAACAAGGCCGGATAACACGGCCTTTTTTGGGTGTATTCGTCAAGCCAAGTCGGTTTGGAGCCCTTATTACACTCTGTCGTGGTCCTTTCTTGGCCTGGCAGGGCCCTATATGTATACAACTCTTTGGGAGACATAGGTTTATCTTGTGGTAAGAGGAGAATCTCGGAAGTCAACTGTATCGTGAACTGTGCATTTAACTGTTTACTTCCTTTTCGGTAACTGGATTAAGAACAGTAGTTAGTCGTGATTAGTAAGTTCAGGAAGATCCGCTTGGAAACCGACCAACCGACTGTATGCTACTGTTGTATTCACGAATTTTTTGATCTTCACGCGGTCTGGAGGGAAATCGATGGGAGGAATGGCTCAGCCATATGTCGCCAACTTACTAATCCTTATCACCTCCTTCTTTTAAATGGGTAACAGAATCGATCTCAGGGTACGCATTAGCCTACGGTTTGATAAAAGAACTTTAGCGGTGATTTGAGCCATACGAGTGCCCAAAATTTATGTCATACCTCTAGACTTCAGTCTTAGCCTTCTATGGCCCAACAGCTTCGTCAAAGAGATAGCTGTACTTTTCCGTATGTATAGTCGAACATGGAGCGTTTCTTGAAGCACTCGCTCTGTCAACTGACTGGACACGGCAGCGGAGACATTGAAGGAGTGTATTATCTTTTCATCTTTGGTGGCTACGTTGTCAGGGCATCGTAGTGCTTTTGAAGAGGAGCAGGGAAAACTGAGCAACTGGATGGTAAATGTGTAGCCTGAGCTATGTGCTGATACAGGTTGAGTTGATTTTTTTATTCAAGGTGCATTGGGTCAGGTCGATCCGTATTTGGGTGGAAGAAGCGCAGCTTCTACCTGATGGGGGCGTTTACAAGAAATCTGTATAGTCGTTCGAATCGAACCTTTTTGTCCCCTTCATTCTGATATCTGCTCATGCAGCCAGGAACATCAGTCCTTCAGAAAAAAATCCGATAACTTTAGCGAATTGACTTTTTACAATTCCGTAAAGGGGTTTTGCTACGAAGGTTTCCTACCACTGTCAATGATCTCATCATTTCCATAGAGTAGCACCAAATAAAGCATTTGGCGGAACAATGAGAACATTGAGTTTCCGATTGGACTGGAGCTATTTAAAAGGCCAAAAGACTTGCATATCGAACGACTTGATGAGAAATTCCAATGCAGTCAGTGGCTGTAGAGGGTGCTGATTGAGTGATCCCATGAGAATTGCACACTCGTGACCCACGGAAACATTCAAAAAGACGGGGATTAGAGTGGTAAACCAAATGTGAAGATTCAAACATGGCAATCGGTGCAGCAGCCTCCATATTGTGACCTTTGTCCCGAAAATTTTTGTTAATAGTTTAAGCGAAAAGTCTCTGTCGGACATCTAGCAGGACACTAGATTTCTCCGGGTGTTTTCCGGGAGCTTCCATGGGCTTTCCATCCAAGGAAACTGTCCACGCATATACCCTTGTCATTGTACAGCCTGAGTATGCATTCAAAAATCAGAGGAGGGTGCGAAGTCTGAAGGAAATCTCGGAGGGTCGGTTCCAAGATGGGACTCATCGATGCTGAAAAAATCTTTCTCCGTCTTTTGCCCCTCTTCGCGCGAGGCTTGCCTTCATCGATGGGCCACCTAGACTTCCTGCTACCCGAATACCGTGTTCCCTCCAAAACCAGAGCATAGTGAGGAATGTGCCTCTAGAATGTTGGGCAAGATCTATTCTCATCATTCTCTTGAACTGAACTCCTGTTCCGTTGTTTATTCAGGATTTTTAAATACTTTGCTATAGGAAACCATGGCCCAACTTGTTCAAAAAGGTTTTTAACTTCACAGAGTCCCATCCAATCTCCTCGAGCATGTGCGCACGTGCACAGGAACAGCAGACGTTCATTATCCTACGACCTCCTTTTCATGATAAATGAACGTCTCGTAGCTCACACTTGCGCTTTAATATCTAGCAATTGGCTACACATCCAGACCTCGATGATTCTCTAGGACCTCATCAATCTCCATTCACAAATCACCTTTGAGTGGTAGATTTAGCAGTGCCTACCTTATCCCGGCTTTGTCTTTGAGAAACTTTTGCTGATCTTTCATATACATAGCATTTTACAAAGTAATCAAGTAAACATCCTCATGAACAACGAGAACTACTCTTTTTGGGTTTTCTCCTGCTTGGTGGATGTTTGGCATTATGATTCATAGAGTCTGTCCCAAAATCAACCAATCATACTCAGTTGATGGTTGCCTTTCGGTTTGGCGATGGCTGACATCTGGCAGTGCCTTTGGCGCTTGAGTTTTTACTTTTAGCGATCGAAGTTATAACTCTCTCGACGAGCGCATTCGCAAAGGCGCGGGCGTATGATGTAATGTTCCCACAAAGGAATTTCCTGTAACAAAAAAAACTCTCTCAACTGGGGAAACTGGCACAAATCTTCAGAGTGAGGGGATATCAGCTACGAATGGGAGATGGGTGAATAAGGGTTCTTTTGTTTGTGTCTGCACCACTACTCATTTTCGCCCTTGTCGCCTTGTCTGTCAAACATTGGCCTTATCAAGTGGCAGTCATCTGGGTGTATAGAGTTGCCTGACACTCAAGCTTTTTTCTCCCCACTTTTTTCTATGCCTTCAGGGTACCTTTGGCTTTGCTATTCTGAGATTAGGAACGTGTTGGGTTCTCAATAACGAGGGGTCGTTAGGAAGTAATTGCTCTCAATTTTGTTTCAGTCATAGGGGTGGCATGAATAGCTCCGGAAAGGCTGCCATAAACCAGAAAAAAGGTTCAAAAGCAATGAAACGATAGGGACCTGGAAGGAAGAATTTGATGCTCCCATAAAAGGAAATTTGACCACCAAAGGATGAATACGAACAGTTTCGACATTATTCGCGGATACGGCCTCTACTCGCACCTATGTGTGGATGGGTTCAGAATAGTAATCCCCTTATATTTATATTCTATCATGAATACAGAAATAGGACGTGTTTATTGATATTAATAAGTAAACAGATACAAAAAACGGTGAAAATGTAGTTGGGGGGGGGGGG